TAATAACAATAAATTCCCTATGTATTTCAATGGTTCAAACGATAGACATACCGATCAAATTTTTTTTAATGATATAATTACCGTTAAACTAAACTTTCCTAGGAGAATAAACTAGCGAATAGCTCTTGCAAACGATTTTTTTCTTAATATATTTGCCACCAAAATATTTATAACAACAATTAATTATTCTTATGAAAAGGAAATGACAATTCAAATTGAAGTGTCGAATGACAATAAACCAAATTCTTTCCACTACGATTATAATGTATAACAACAATAAACGATGGTGAAAATTATTGAAGTGCATTTTGAAATGTTCCTTCCGCATGTATTATCTATATTTACTTTTACTTCCTTCAAATTTCTTTTCATTACAATTCGAACTTTCATAAATATTATTTTATAAGAAGAAGAAGGGATAGCCGAGTGGTTGCTCAAGTTACCTTCTTTCGGATCTTCCCTAGGAGAGGAAAAAATCAATCATCAAAAAATGCAGGCGACGCTGGCGATCTACCTATATTTTTATCTCCAAGTGATTCTCTGAAAAAATTTCTCATCGCCAGTGAGCTGAACAGACTGAAACAGACAATGAATGGTAATCACTTAATTTTGCAGATATTATTTGTAACGTAATGCATATTTCTTCTAACTTAACCTCACCACTGGACGAATTTTAAAAAAATCCGCGAAGTAATAAATGCAGAAGCAAAGTGCTGTTGGACCAACTTTAGATTATTTTAACAAATATATTTCCGTTTGCTGACAGAAATATAAGCACTGTTCGTTGGTTCTCCGAACAGCTAATTGGAAATTTTATATTTCGATAAACTATCAAATAAATTCGTTAGTACTAACGAATATTATTGTAAAGTAAATGCATTTGAAAAAAATGTAAAATGGGTGAGAAGGATAAAATAATAAAAGAGGATCGCATGATGAACAAAGCAGATGAGAAACTATTGGATATATTTGCATTCGCAAATCGCACGGCGACACAGAAATGCAAATTTCACTGTTAATCTGTCCTTCTTTTAGTGCTTTTTTTGACCAATAATGTTGACTTAGAAATCTGTATTTTTTAAAAAAGAAGAAATAATATTCATAATTAAGGATTATATATTGCTAATGAATTGGCCAATGGCAAAAACACGAAAAAAAAAAACTAGTTTTTAAGAAAATTTTCGAATTTCGAAAGTGGAATTTTGAAAGAAATAATCGTCACACTGCTTCATCAAGGCTCAATTTCTGTCATTTATGTTGCAGATGCTGGCTGACTGACAAAAATTTTTCATTTGGTCTCGACAGTTAACTCGACAGTTATATGTTATTCATTATTTGAACAAATGAAAAACATGGATTAATTAGTTCAAATAGTTTGAATTAGCGGTAGTATGAAGTTGACACCTAATTCTAGTGCTTATATAGCAAAACTTAACAACAGTTGAAGAATATTTGTTTAAAAGTTCTTCTTCCGTGTACTTAGCTGAGTTTCGTCCGTCCATTCGTCCATAATGACGTAATCAGAACGATGAATGGATAGATGGATGAACGGAAAAAAAGATTCGACTTAGTGGATTTTTCAAGATAATGATATAGAACACAAAAAATTATTTGTTATCGCGTGAAGGACGAGATAAGAAATTCAGACGCTAAGATGAATTTAGAAGGAAAAAAAATGAAAAAATCGGTTCTCCCTTTTCGGTTGAAATCCATAGTGGAGAGGAGAAATTTAGGAAAATGATCTAGGAAGTTAGGAATTTTTATTTAATAAATATTTGGCAGAGTCGGTTAACCATGGATAACAATGAGATAGTCATGTCAATTATAGGATAAAATTTTTTTTATTGGGATCGCTGATGAAAGCTTAACGGAGCGATCAATTCAATTTACTTTCTATCTCCACCTTCAAATATATTTCCATTTTTCTGAATGAAAATCTAATCAAGCCAAGCTTGTTGAAAAATAGATCTCGCTTACTCCTTTTTGCTAACTAATCAGACCAAGCTTACAAAAAATTGACTGCCCTTCTCCCCTCCGCAACACTCCAACAAAACTGCTCTAAAAAAGTCATCTTTTCACTTTACACATTTCACGTTTTTCACGTTTTCACGTTTTTCACATCTTTTCACGTTTTTTTTTGAATTTTATTACCAAAGAATCATTATTATAATAAAACAAACTAGCATTTAACATGCAAACCTTTATTCTGCAATCCACAGATTCTAACTGAGCATCACCAATTTAATTTCTAAACTTTAGTGGGATATACGGGAGCACAACAGTCGAATTATTGTTGCTTTGATTATCAGATCGAGCATCATGGTTCAGGTTTTGCGCTCAGCAAGGGTAAACCTGTCATTAAAAACTCCAGATGCTGCTGGCGACACCTATTATTTTTTATCATCATTTTTCCCTTTTCCTCATTTTGTTAACGATCAGTAGAGCAAATCTAACCAGAAATGGTGAATTAACCACTTATCTACTTCACAAAAAAGTAAAGTCCCAGTGGAGCCTGAAAACAATCTATCTACAGTTTTTTCCTTCTGGTTTGTTCCAAATTCATTAATTTATAAAAAAAAACATGAATCTTTTAAAACCCGCAAAATTAAGTGGAAAAATTCTTAAAATAATATCAGAATTCTTTTATGCAAATACTCGTTAGAAAAAGAGGCGAAAATATTTTTAAAGGGTAAAATAGCCAAAATTCTTCTCATTGCTATCAAATCGATAGCTCCGAAGGCAAAAAATAAATTTTTCGTGGCTTCCATGCCACGAATCGATTCTCCATGATGCTCGTTAATCAATAGGCATTCTATTTTCTCAATTTCAAAATTCTATTTCACTATTTTATTAAACAAATTCAAATTTAGCTGATTATTCAGTCTCACTCCTTTTTTCTTCAAATTATAAAGTGAGGAGAGAATTAAAACAAGAAAGCTCGCGAAAAATCGCATTATTTTTTCAAAAATTTCCCCTATAAAACGATTTGTTTGGCTCGCTTTCATTAAGGCTTTCGCTAAATGGTTATTCACATGGAGAGAATGCTAGAATGGAATGAAAAGTTGCTTCGAATAAGATTATAAGTTCTAATTTTCTTATCCCTTATCACTTGCCCTTTAATCGGAGTAAATCCATCTTTAAATTAAAATTCAGTGCTAAAGGCTTATTTATTCTATTATTCCCTCAAATGATTCCTTTGGGAAGGAGTCTTATCCTAACAACCAGAATCAGCCAAGTTAAAAATGTACAATTACCGAATTACAATATTAAATTTCAGTATTATCAGTAAAATATTTCATAGCCATAAGCAATCATACTTTATCAAAAATCTTTGCCTATGAATAAAAAAAATATATTGCAGTGATAGAATAGCTTTTTCAATGAGAAGAAATAATGAAATTTCCTAAGAAAGATCTTTGATTTCTGAAGGCAGAAGGAATTTAACAAATGGCAGTTTGGTGGATCACATTTTAAGCAAAAATTAGATACAAAGATGCGAATTTAGACAAAATCTGATTATTCTGGAAAACCGGAATATTTAAGAATGTTTGGGCTTTTGGCATAAAGATTTGCAGCCTGGAATTATTTAAAAAATGTTCGCTATAGTTTAAAAGCTCAAATATCAAAATATTTTTAAAAATAGCTAAATCAATTAAATGAGGAAAAAAATATTGCGAAGCGAACATATTAACTAAAATAATTTTAAAAACAAAAAATAATGGTATAATAATGGTATATAATAATGTATGAATAAAAAATTTTTGCTTTAAAATTTGTAAAATACGATTCTCTTTTCACTGTTGATTTTATCCTTAAGTTAATTTTAATTTTATCCAGTCCGAAACTGATTTCCTTTTCTGCAGCATAATTTACACTCACCTAAATTTACATTTTTCAAACAATATTTACAAGACACAATTTTTATGCACAAAAAATCCACATTTCACTTCATCTCTTATCGCATTCTTGAAAATGTGTGGCTAAAACAAGATCATAAAGCGTCACACTGACCTTCACAGAACCCTAATCAATTAACATATCAGCCTTAAAAATCTACAAAAATCCTTCTTATTCTTCCTTTCAGTACCATGTCTCAGTAGGTATAAATCTGTCAGTAAAAACCCCGATGGTACTAGTGACACATCTGCACTTCTAAGTAATTTCCTTATCCGACAAAAAGCTTATTTTAATAGAAATTTTCCTATAAAACGCCATATTTTTTCAGATTCAGTAATTTCATAGGCCATTATTCCATGTGCGAACTTTCACGAAGTGCAGTATACTATAAATTGCTAAATCTAGACCTCTCTTATTTAGCTAAAACTCATACTCGAGCATGATAATGAAGATAAAAAATGAAGAAATGAAATGAAAATAGCTCGTTCAATTAGTAGTTTAACCACTTAAAATTAATATTAATCGTTAACTTAAAAACTGGACTAAGAAAGTAATGTTTATCTATGTTTATCGCCCTTATCTGCTTTAAAAAATATATGAATTCAAGACAATTAACTGCGAGGATTTATTTATCTGCTTAGGATGATCGGGGGCTACCTCGATTAAGCTATTATCCTGAGCGAACCTTTCTGTTGCTTCTATTCCCAAACGACCCTTTGCGAAAGATCTCATCCTAATAGCTAGTGCACTTAGAAAAATAAGAAATGATAAGTGCACTTGAAAGAAGAAAAAATTTAACAATGCAATTTATTTAAAATACTTCAAAAAGGGAAACCAGCAGTAATTTCAAATACAAAATTAAAAATAAAAAACTTGAAAATTATGATGATAAAGTGAATCGAAAAAGTGTTGATCCAATGAGTAAAATATTTCACAAATCACAAATATTAAATTTACAAAGCCCTTTAAAACTCTTGAAGGATTAAAATGATAGAGAACTACGTGGGACTCTTGTAGACGGCTTTTTCATTTTTCTGTTATTTAAAAAATTTCTTTAAAATTTGAAGTGAAAAATTTAAAAACAAATTTAAAACATTTAATTCTTAGGAACGATGATTATTTAAGTGCACAAATATTTCGGACTGAGTTGTAAAACGATTGTTTAAGCATCCATTTGGCTGTCCTCCCATATAAATAAGAGGATAATTTAAGTAATAACCATTCCCTCGATTCATATACCGCTGAAGAAAGAATATACTTCTCAAAACTTTTGCGGATTTCAATAAAATAAATTATATTTTATTCATAAATTTAGAATTATTTTTTCAAATTGAAATAACTGAAAAAAAACTATTTTTATTCAATAAATCAATAAAAATTACTTAAAAAATGAAAAAAATAATTGAAAAAATTCGCAATCGTTATCAGCGCTTTTCTAATTCAAACGAATGGTGACTGGAACACCAGTTCATTTATTCTCAAATGAATCAGTGTAAAAAGACCATCCCATCCTGACAGTTAGTATAATTATTCAAACCAGAAATGGTGAGTGTTATTATTATATGAAGAAGAAGAGATAAGAAGCAAATAATCTCGTGAAGATGCTGCCCTATGCATGCAGCAATTATCCAGCAATGGCTGTAATCATTTAAAAAATATATTATTTGTTAAATATATAATATTTAACATATATTATCAAAAAACAAGGAAAAACTAACGGAATCAATGGAATTCGATTTGATTGTTTTAACTACATTGTTAATCTTCATTGAATCATTTTTATCACTATATGCTTTGGATATTACATGTCGAATAGTGCTTATCCATTCCAACATCTCTTTTTCGCTAAAAAAAATAATTATAATTTTCTTTCTTCTTCATTGTATGGAAATGAAGAGAAATATACACATCAAAGACGAACCAAAAAAATCATTTTATTCAAAAAAACTAAATCATTTAAAAAACTTAATGGAAACTTCAAATTTATTTCAAATTTCAATATTTCAAAATCAAAATAAATGCTAATTTATATTAAAAAAATCATCATTCGCAGTCTCATTGTAGAAAAAATTTTTAAAATGAAATTTTACGAAGAATGAAGTGATGGATTGTGCTGGTGATCCACCTGTACTTCTGTCCCCAAGCTACCTAGCAAAAATTTTTCAAAAACTTATTAACAACTAGTGAAGGTTAATTAGAAATGAAATCATTTATTTATTTATCAAAAACCAACCAAGCAAGGAGACAAACGCTATGTGCGAGTACTATTAACAACAGTTAAAATAACAACAAATAACAAAATTAAGGATAAAACAACAAATAACAACAAATAAAATAACAAATAATGAAAATTAAGGATAAAAAAAGAAAAAAATTTATTTACTTTTACTTACTTTTGCCTTTCAAAATTTAATTAATTTTTACGTTTCTAGATTAAAGCATTTAAATTTTATGACAATTATTTCAAATCAAATTATATCAAATTATAGTCATTCAAACATGTAATTTTTTTGTATGAAGCAATAATTCATACTTTTTACGCGAATTTTAATAATTTAGTAGTTGAAAATTTTAATAATTTGGTTAATAAACTGAAGCAATTTTTAAAAAATTTAAAAAGTATTAATATAATAAAGGATAAGTAATTCAATAAATAAATAAATTAAACAAATAAAGTGATTAAATAAATAAAGTGAGCCATTTTTGACTAGGTTGGTTCCACTGGCTATTAGTACACCTATGAATTTTTGCCAGCAAGATGGGCTGCTAGCATTACTTCGATTTTTTGATGAAGATTTACTTACTTCAGGATAATTTTCTTAATTCCACAATTCCTTCCATAAATTATCGAAATCAAATAAGTCGATGATAAAAAATAAACAACAAACAATAAATAAACCTTGCGGATAAAAAAAGATGCTCTTGATGAATTTGAGTTACAATTCGTAATACGTATTCCTTCTTACTGTTTATTAGTTTATTATTTAAAAAATCATAAGCAATATCGACGATTGCAGATTTCAGATTTATTATACGACTATCCGATGGAATGTTTAATACCTAGAAAAAAGTACTTAAGAACATCGATAGGAAAATAAAAATTATAACCACTTTCATATATTAATCATAGCTTATATCCAAATATTTACGTGCCTGTAAAAGTTTTCTAAATTTCTATCCATAATTTTTCAAATTTTCTGGAAAAGAAACTTTTAAAATGATAAAAATCCAAACCACTTCGTTCGTATCATCACTGATATGTGAATTTAGTTGCCCACAAAGATACAAATCTGAATTTTGCAAAATTACCCAATATTGTTGCCAATGTTTATTGCTGAATTTTATTAATTCACCAAATGAAACTTCCTGAAAATAAAAAAAAAGAAATATACTAAATTTGCTAAAAAAAAAACAAGATGCGATGGTGATAACAATATCGCAATGAGAAGCAAGCTCGGCTCTCTCCTCAGTATGAGTTAACCAGTCATTTAATAAAAAATCCGAGTCGTGCAAGCAACCCACTTTTACTTTTATTTTTAGATTCCTTGGTAAAAATTTTTAACCTTAATGCCTAATAGGTAATGGAACTTGCAGAAATGGCGAGCACTTATTTCCTTCCACCAATTCCAAGAACAACTTCGAAAGGCCATGGATTACAGTAGAAATATTTAAGATGTACTTTATTAAAAAACAGATGCTAATTTGAAAGTGTATTTAAACTAAGTGTATTTTAGGATGAGTTTAAGCAGAAAATATTTGCAAAGCAAAATATTTACGGGATGTGCACGAAAAGTATGGCATTTGACCAAAAGATGGATGGATACATAATTGATTAAAACTTTAAAGTCTAAAGTAAATGAGGTCGATTAAAAACAAAAACGAAGTAAAAGCGAAAAAAAATATCGCTAAAAATAAAACGATGAAGAGCGTTGCAATAAAATAAAGAGAGTTGGTCTGCATAAAGTGAGAAAATAAATGTGGAGAATTATGGCTAAGTGATGCTTTGCTGGCTGCCTTTTCCCGAATCATAGTTCAGCCTTTCCCTCGTGTTGTTTGCTGTGTTCGCAATTCTTTCATAAAACAATAAAGGCAGCCAGGAACCACTTCTATCCCTAAAGGATGTTTTAACGAAGATTTTCATCTTAGAGGCCAGAGAAGTAATAGCACTAACGATAAAAAAAAAAAGTCCAAAATCAATTTAAGAAAAGATAATTAACGAAGAACTTGACACTTGTAACGATTCCTATTTTGTTTATTTATAATATTTTTGCCTACTTATGGTATTTACTAAGTAGTAATGAAGGATTCTGCGCAGGATTGCATATAAAATTCAACTAAAATACGGTAAGTGCCAAGACCTGATGAAGAAGTTGTCCTTGTTTATGAATATTCTTTGCATTAACTGGAATATAAGATGAGCATGTAACATGATCCACGTTTGAAAAATTTTCACGTGTGCAAGTTCCTGTTGTATTACCACTAGCAAAAATTGTGGTTATTGAACGTTTTAATCGTCGTTTACCATTATTCGACGAAGAGAACGATTTAATCTTATTCTGCAATTTTACTTTAATTTAAAAAAGGAAATGGAAGCTATCTGGCTTTTAAACAAATTTTTAAATGGCATTATCGACTTAAAAAATAAAAGACAAAGTCTTATTAACATGATGAAAAATGAAAACACCCTTTAATATATGTATGTAATTTGAATTTAATTAAATTTATTAGAGGCAAGAGCTTTTATTATAATTTAATAAGTATAGAGGGACCTCTATACTTAGCCTCGATGCTCAGCTCATCGCCAAGAGATGGGTAAACATACCACTAAAAACACGGAAAGTAATCGCCAGCTGTACGTTAAGTGACTCGCTGACAAAAATTTCTCACTGTAATAGCGGCAAGTGGAACGAGCCAAATCAGAAATGGTAAGTTTAAGAAAAATCATAACAATTGAACTAAGTTTTGAAAAAGTTTTAACGGAAGAATGCGAATAAATGGGGACAGTTTATCGCTTCTTCAGGATTGTGGCTGATCAACTGCCAATAAATTTTTCAAATAAACAAGAGAGATTATGCGAATCTTTTTTTAATCTTTTTTTTAAACTACAAAACACAAATGTGTTTTAATTTACAATACGAAGATAAATAAAACGAATTGTATCAAATATCTGTAAATGGTTAACGAGAAATATTTTACTTTACTGCGAACGATCAATTATTACTTAAACAAACATTGAAAAAAATTTTGAACGTTTCTGTTGAATCGTTCATACAATAACGCTTGAATTTTTGAGGAAATTATGAAAAAAAACTCGTTTTTCTTTTAATAAATTTTTATTGCATTAATTTTTGCATGGAAAATTATTTGAAAAAAAAAATTCAGAAAAGTTGTTATTCAAAGCAAAATTCTATTTTAAAATTTAGTTCCATTATTTTCTTCCATTTGTATGTAAAATTCTATTTTTTTATTCAAATTATTTCATTCACATCTCCAAAACCAAATTTGATGCGTGGAACCAATTATATAAAAAAGCAAAAAAAATTGGTGAAAAGAGCTGACGGTTGTGGTGATTAAAAGGATCCTAAAAGAAAATTAACCTGATTACTATCATTTGACGTAAAAAACGCAATAATTCGTTGTAAACGTTGAGTTGTTGAAGAATGTGAAGCAGCGCCACTAACGATGCCTTTTATTATATTCGAAGGTAGTGAAATATCATTGGAATTCGTTTCATAGGATGATGAAGTTGCTGGAATCCCACTGAAAAAAATATTTTTTCCACGTTTCGAAAGAAATATAACTAAGCACATTAATAATAACACCCCCATGTTGTAATGAAAAAGTCTGTCCAGCAGAAAAGGGAAAATGTTGAAAGCAATATAGATGGATCAACTACATAAGATTACTTATAAAGCCTAGGCTTACACGCCTAAACAACCATTCAAACTTCGAAAATAAAATTATGGTGTGACAGAGCTTCCTACAATCTATGGATCTATACTTCTTTTCATCGATCAATTTTCACAAGCGATGGTATAAAATTGCCCAACTGCAAATGAATAAATATTAAGGCATTACAATTGAGCTTACAGATGTTAGGGTAAAACACTTAAAGGATAATATATTAGGGTATAGCGATATTGGAATTAAAGAAGAAAAATACTAATTATGAGAAAGTAGGGAGGAAATATAATGAAGAAAAAGTACGTAATTCAGTAATTTTCCTGGAGACGCTGACAAATTAATATTTTACAATTTTATTTATTATTTATAATATTTTACAATTATTTATAATATAAATAATTGATTTTATCGAAATTTTTCTATAAATACTAATAATTCCGATTCGTTTTCACCAGATTATTTCTATCAAATTATTTCTGTTATCACTATTTGTATATTTCTTTTAAATGTATATATTTATTGTTAATGAAAATAATTTATACTGAAATTTACAAAAAATTAGGAAACTAGAAAAACAAAATTAAAAAGTGGTCTGTTTTCTTTTCTATTTAATTGATATCTTTTTTATTTAATAACGATTAATATTCATTAAAATTTTCTTGACTTTTGTTTTATTCAATATTTTACATAATCTTTAAAAATCAAAAAAATGTTTAAAATTGAATCAATTGTGCCAAATTATAAATACACAAATGCCTTTCCGACAAAATTTTTCCAACTTTCGCGTTGCTTGAATGCTTGATTTTTGCGGCTTTTTGAATTTATTTTTCGCCTTTATTTTTTTGAATTTAATAATAAATTTTAAATTAAATGAAATATGGCGAAGTGAATTCCCAAATTATAAAGGTCAAATCAAAATAAAATTAGAAATAATAAAGAAATTAGAGATTTTTTTAGGGATTTTTATTTGCTATAAAAATAAATTCAAAATTTTTATATCCATTGTGCCGAATGAAAAATATTTCCTATGAGAAAATGTTTTCCAATAAAAATTAAATCCAATCATGGTTTTAAGTCAGAGTTTCATCTCAGAGGACAGGATGGTTCAGCCGTATGTTACTGAGAATGGTATTATAACAATCCGACTCATGCTCTTTGAATAAATCTTAGCAAATCCTGGAGCGGTTACCTGTATTGCCAATCTCTACATCTAATCCTATAGCCAGTAGAAGCGGTAAATAATAAAATTATGGATGATCAGAGAAATGATAGAGAGAAAATATAACAATCGGAAGGAAGGAAATGATAGTAATAAGGTAGATAACAAGCAATAATGAATAACATGAAAGACGAACTTTTGCGATCGAGATTTGAGATCACCTTCCTTGCCTTTTTATTTTTGGCCCCAGCAAGTGTACTGTACTTTTTCAATTTCTTTTTCTCCATTTCTTGAGCTATTCATTCACATAGGTCATCAAAAATTATTATATTATTTGTATCTAATTCCATCTCACTGGTCTTGATGAGTTTTGTCCATCTATCACTTTTATTCTCCTTTTATTGTTGTCTTCGCCCTATTGTTGCGTGAACCTGTTGATTCCTTTGCTGCTAAGTCACCGACACATATTATCTTAGATGGTATTAATGTTTTACTATTGCTTGATCTTCGATAAATAAGATGATAGGTTCGCCGCTGAGTGGTAACATATGTCTTTATGCACATATATTTGACTCTTAATAAATTTAAAACTCATTATTGTCCTCCTCCTCTCTTTCCTTCCCCTTTCCCCACCTCTAAGATAGATGAGGTCTTTGCACTATATAGGTCATAAATATTCCAAGAAGGCCATTTTTTAAGATTCCATTTCTAAAATACAAAAGGAATAAAAATGAGAAATTCTGTGCTAATTTTTTTATGAAGAGAATTCAATAAAATGAATGGCCCAAATGAATCGAAAATTTTATCGGAAATGTCGCAAATTATCAATCACTGTAGTGACCCGAACCAAGTGATCTGGAAATACTAAACCTTCCAGCAGTCTTTTTATTGGTCAAGCAAATATCTTTTATTTTTTTTGGCTAATGAAATAGTGGCGGGTTTTCGTATAAAATGATAAAATTTTTAAAAAATATTCAAAAATCGGTTTAAAATTTATAGATCCTGCCAAAGGAAAAAATGAAATTTAAATCGATCTTTGACAATTAAAACAGGAAGAAATCACTGAATCACTAAAAAATATTAATACTTTTGAAATGCAATAAAAGTAATTTAGCGTAAGGTGATAGATGTTTCTATGGCCAGGCCATCATAGGTCCGATCACTGTCATTTGAGTGAAACGGCATTAAAAGCTAAATTCAAGTGACGACGAAGACCCACCTGTATTCTAATGACTCTATGACAAAAGTATTCTTATGGCCAGTAAAGCCAGCAAATAAAAAGTGAATGCTATTCATAACAATAAGTTGATTAATGCTAATTCATGTAGTAAAAAAATCCAAATAAAAGAGAACAAACGTCCAATGTGTTTTATATGCAATATAAAAATATCTTTAAAAAAGACATCCACATTTTTTATTTTTTTTAAAAAAATTAAAATAAAAACGTCCGAAGGGATTTTGGAAACTTTTTTTGTAATTTTGATTTCCTTTTATCAGATTTTATTCAATATTTGGATATTGCCCAAAATGTTTTCCCAAAAAAGATTTTAAAAAAACTCAAAATAATCGAATTAAATAAATCAAAAACATCGAAAGAAAAAATAAAAACTCCAAAAAAATTAAAGTGGAAAAAATTGCGCCTTCCAATTCCTCTTCTTCTTGTTCTCCTCCTCTCGCCATTCCTTCTTTTCTCCTCTTTTATAGATACAGAAAGTTTTGCAGTTTTAATGAAGCACTTTTGGAAATTCTCAAATACCTACGCCATATCAAATTAAATTTTATTATTGCCCGTCCATTCCATAATAGGCGAAATCATTTGAGAGAAAAGAGAACGTGTCACTTAGATTAATAACTCCAGTCATATAATAAAGTAAGTAATCCTCACCATTTATGCGAGCCTCATTTTCCTATAGAAAACAATTGGGATGAATCAAATAATATCACATATTAAACATTTTGCCAGTATACGGATTCGATTTTAAAAATATAAACAACTGGCATGAAATCTTTCGACTTAGACCATCAAATAAATAAATCTTATTTAAACAAAACTTGCAAATAAAATATCGAAAATATTAAAAGTTTAATATTAAAATATTAAAAGTTCTTTATGTTGTATAATATTAGTCAGTTACAATTACAATTAACAACTTATACTTACATTTTCGTGCCTAGAAATTAGTTAACGAATTCTTTTTTTGTAGAACCTTGCGTCCTTGGATTTGAAAGATTCTTCAAGGCTGTTTTTTATATAATCAAACAAATTTTTTCCCAGCAAGTAGCATTGCAAAAATTCGAATAAATGGAAATTAGAAGGTGCAAAATATAATGTGGATGAGGTAGAATTTCCGGACCAAGATCTTTGATTTTTTAGCGTGTATTCTTTAAAGCATGAAATCTCGTGTTGTTATTTTGAAGAATTATTAGCTGTTACAAGGAATATGGATGAAATTTATTCCTAAAGACGATTAAACTGTTCGCAGACATCAAAGATGATATTTGACCAGGTTTGCGAAACTTCAAAATTATTCTCTTTATTTCCCATCAAATCACTTAACCAATTTTATAACCACTTTTTTATCATTGATGCTGGATTCAGTGGTTGTTGATGGTGCTTTTCTCGCTGATGACCTTTGCAATCTACGACACCAACTTTTCATCAAGAATAATTCTATCCAAAAATGGTTCCATTTTCTATTTCGAAAAATGTAAAAAACATAAAGACAATCATTCAAACTTGTTCTTCAGAAAGTTCGAAAATTTCTCATGGCTTGAAAATAACATTATTTGCTTCTCATATCCTATTTCATCTAATGTTTCTGATGAGCTTTAATCGGAGAGTGCAGAAAAAATCTTCGTCGGATTTTGAAGATCTACCAAGATCTTTGGGTGTCCTGTAAATTGAAAACATCATTTTTAAATTTTAATGCACTTTAGCATTTTCTCACATCCATTGCTTTTGAATATACTTCGTTTCTCTCATTTTTTGTATTTTTAAAGCAATGAAATTTCTATATTATGTAAGAAAAGTCGGGCAAATTTTTTAAAAAGAAACTGAAATTCATACCACACTATTATATAAGTATATATCTGTTTTTGCTCTTTTTAAGGAAAAAGTTTCACTAAAAAATTCTGGAACTTCCTCAAAAATTATTTGACGTATTAAAGACCTATTAAGTACGGATTTTGGTGACAAAAATATCTGGTGAACATAAAATATATGGATAAAAAATATAGAAAAATGATGAACTCACTTATTCGAAATTCCATGCCTATAAATATTTTTTCATCATAATTTCTTGTGTGGCTAGCTTCACTGATTAGAGTTATTTTATGGTGAAACTTCAACGTTAAAGAATTATTTGGAGATTGACGTATATAGGTGGATCTTCAGTATTCTGAATTTCAATGAAAATATTTGTTCTCGTTAAGGTAAAAAGAATTAAATTGAAGGTTAGTGATTCTCAACGGCAGCCACATGACTCTTCGGGCCATTGAACGTTTCGCTGTTCAGGAGGGATTATTGGAGCCATAAGGAAGTCAAGATAAGTTGCAAAGTAGAATACAAAATATATACATTTTCTATTTTGAAAAAATTCCAAGTGTAACACAAGTTTTAAACGAATAAATATCCCATAAGAAAGACGAAAACAACTGTGGAAAAAAAAATTTTCTTTTGTTGGCAAATACTAAAAATATTAATTCTATGATTTCTTCTTTCATTTTCCTTCAGCCTAGTTTCGCTCTTGAACAGTGTAGTTCTTT